CCCCAAAACCCCAAAACCCCAAAACCCCAAAACCCCTGCCATAGTTTATCACATTGAAAACTGATAATTTATAAATCAAACTTAACCTTGGTAGCCTCTCTGTTCAACTGTTTATTAATGCTTTTGGTATTAAACAGACCAAATTTTGGCTTAAGGATCCCTTTAGAATCAGTTTTGTCTATAAAATATCAGATTATTTCTAAGCATTCTGTGATTCATCAGACCATATTGTTACATTCTTTGTTAACCTGATAATTGCTTACCTCGTCTAGGATACCGCTGAGCAGGACTATTTCCTAACAGGTAGGTGTCATTAATGATCTCACTGAACATCTTCTCAATTGAAATCTTGTTCCTAGTCCTTACCTTAGCTAGAAATATTCAGGATCCTACTTACAAACAACTGGCAATCTAACGCTGGTCTTTTGCTTTGGAGTCCTAGATGCATAGTTCAAATATCTCTGTGACTAAAATCTCCCTCTTATCCATCATTCCCCGAGAAGATAATTCCAAGTGTATTTTGTGGAATAAGAAGTCCAAATTTTATTCGTAAAGATTTTTCGAGTTATTTTTACCTATATTCTACCGGATTTGATGAACTTTGGGATGGAATCACATAATCTATAGGTCCCTAGGAACACATACGCTTATTAAATCGGACGTAATTGATCCCTCTCTGGCTCTGAGGGCCCATTTTGGTACCTAAGTCCTTATTTGTACCCTCTCTGTACAGATTTATTCTTAATTTGTGCTGAAGTTGAATTTAGTCTGTCTCCAGGCTTGGTAAGCTATATTGATACGATTGAGGTTAGAGCTTAAAGGAATGCTCACCTTCTTCTTGGCCTGGATACTGGAGTCTAGGCATGAGTTGAGAGAACTTACAGCGATCGTTCATCTTTGAAGGGATCTTTTTGATATTTCTGACAGTCTTGGCTTTAATTTTAGAAAGGGATTTACTGTTTTTACCAGGGGTTGTATTATCAATTCTTCTCTGAGGTATTTGTGAGGTCAAATTAGTGCTTTTGGGTGGTCTATTTGTGACTACGCTTGGATGACGTTTGCTCTGATTTTTGGATTTTGATTTGGAGGTATTTTTAATCTTATTTTGATCGTTTTTGTTTGATTTAAAGTTACTCTTTGAACAGCTATTTTCAAGACTTGTTTTTGTTTGGGGTTTATTATATTCTTGCGATTTAAATGCTGGCAATTTTAACGAAGATACCACTACAAATTTCTATTACATTTAATTCAACAAAAATACATTTCTGAGTCCTTCTTCATCTCTAAAATTTCCACTCTTAGGATGTTGGTCTTCTTCAAGCAACCTATAGTTATCAAAAAATCTACCTTCTTGGTACAAGTCATGATTTGCCTGCGATTCCACCGTTCCTTATATGGCCATAAATATTATGAATTCTTCTCTTGAACTCTAACTTTGACTCTTTCTGTTGTTTTCTGTGTAAATCTTCTGAGCGCCTTAAGATCTTGGGTTTCACTAGAGAATGATACAACAAGAATACAGGAACCCTGACTCTTGTAATGCTTCTTGATCTTGGGGAGACTTAACTCGCTATTTCTACGAAGATGCTGAGGGACTATACTGATGGTATAAAAATGAATAAATTTGAATGATCCAGAAACAAATTAACCAGCCATGACTGGAAATACAAGAATCTTGTAGGCTGGTGATCTTAGCAAATTGAGGCCCTGACTTTACCCTGATCAGTGGAGCTTTCTCTGCTAAGACTAGTTCTTCCTAATATTTTGAATTTTCTAAATCTGAGCCTAAAATTTCACATCATTCTTCCAAATTAGGCTTACTTTCTTAGAGTGCTATGTTTAAGATCCTTTGGAAAAAATTCCTTTGCTTTTCTATAAATGTTTAATAAATAAAGGAAACTTGATAAATCATGGAGTTTATTAAACCCCTATTCATTGTTGATAAAGGCTTTTAAGTCATATTAAACCAACACTAGAAGGCATTAAGCATTAAGCTACCCTATGGTCTATCTTCTGGACCAATAGAGCTGCTCTTCTCTTACATAGTGTCTGTATGCATAATATTACCAAAATTTCCTTTAAAATCATTAAACCCTACCTTCTAGTCACCACACCAAGCCCACGAGTTAGGGATACTGGAATCTTATAAGCAACATTATAATCTCACAACTATAACAATCACCTACATAGATATGCGTAGGCGCAAGGTACGGATTTGAAACCTATATTATGAAGGATGGGTACTTTAGAGTCCATGTGGGAAATTTAATTTTTTTAGGAATTGGGAGAGTAGGGGTTTTGGGGTTTTGGGGTTTTGGGG